GATTTCATCCCGATACCGAATTGCAGTCAGGGTGTCATTGTCTAGCCTGTAGAGGTCTGTGCATCCCTCCATGAATATGCCTCCCCAGACCATCACTGACTCACCACCAAAATGGTCATGCTGAACGATGTTACAGGCAGCATTATGTTCTCCACAGCTTTCCAGACCTTTCAGTCTTCACGTGTGCTCAGGGTGAACCTGCTCTCATCTGTGAAAAGCACAGAGCACCAGTGGCAGACCTGCCAATTCTGTTGTTCAGTGGCAAATGCCAATCGAGTTCTATGGTGTCGGGCAGTGAGCACAGGGCCTACCAGAGAACGTCGGGCCCTCAGGCCACCCTCATGAAGTCTGTTTCTGATTGTTTGGTCAGAGACATTCATACCAGTGGCCTGCTGGAAGTCATTTTGTAGGGTTCTGGCAGTGCTCATCCTGTTCCTCCTTGCACAAAGGAGCAGATACCGGTCCTGCTGATGAGCTAAGGACCTTCTATGGCCCTGTCCAGCTATTCTAGAGTAACTGCCTGTCTCCTGGAATCTCTTCCATGCTCTATAGACAGTGCTGGGAGCCACAGCATACCTTCTGGCAATGGCACGTATTGATGTGCCATCCTGGAGGAGTTGGACTACCTGTGCAACCTCTGTAGGGTCAGATATCGCCTCATGCTACCAGTAGTGAAACTGACCCTAGCCAAATGCAAAACTAGTCAAAAAAACAGTTGGGAAAGATGAGCAGAATGTCAGTGGTCTCCACCGGTAAAACCATCCCTCTTTTGGGGGTCATCTCATTGTTGCCCATCTAGTGCACCTGTTGTTAATTTCATTAACACCAAAGCAGCTGAAACTGTTTAACAACCCCCACTGCTAGTTAAAGAGGGATGTTCTTCTTTAAGGACTGCTCCCCACGATCCCCATTAAGGATTGGTACCCGAATTTGACAAGTACCCGCTCCCATTTCAGGCCGCCTAGGCGACCAGAAGCAGAAGGTGTCCTCCCTCCCTGTAGTCTTTTGGGACACGTGACAGATCCCAGGAGACTACAGGACCATTCATGAAGCGCAGCGCTTCTCACGCATGTGCAGTGAGTACCCGGCTGTGAAGCCACAAACTATCACAGCCGGATGCCCACACTGAAGATGCCGGCCTCCTGAAATACCGGGCGGCCGGTGAAACGGATTGCGGGGGACACACCACGGGACCAAGGGACAGGTAACACTGTTCAACAAATTTTTATTTTTTGCCAGTTTTGGAAACAAAAGGATCCATTTCTTAATGAATTTCACATTCTGAGTTCAAATATAACAATGAAATTTGTCAATTGGCTCTAGTTTTTCTGTAAACGGAAAGTTTTCTACTATAGGCGTAATGACTACATAATGCACAATAATTATATAGATAGATGTCTTTCCACAAATATAAAGCAAGTGATATTGACTACATAACAAAGCCTAAATGGCATAATATATTGCATAGGATTACAAGAAAAATTATAGCCATAAGCTAAGTTGAATCATTTTAATACTTAGGATTCTCACTAGTTTTGTCTTCAGTTTGTGTCGGTTTTGCTTCTCTTGGCTTTTCTCTTGTATTCGAGGAAAGGGCTATCTCTTACAACTGCACGTGACTACACGCTTCAGGTTCTTCCTCACTTGACTCAACCACGAAGGATTCTGGTGCTTTAGGAATTGGTAGCCCCTCTCCATGAGGAACTGGACGTATTGCCGATGGAATATTTGGATAGTGCACAGATAACTTTTTCTTCTTATTTAGCCCTTTTACAATTGGAGGCACCATACAAAAGTAACAATTACTAACATGATCTGTTGGCTCTCTCCAAATCATTGGCACAGCGAAAGGCATAGATGCCTTTTTTCCATTCAACCATTGCTCCAGTGCCGTCCCACAAGAATTGCAGCACATATGTGGTGCCCAGCTCTTGTCCTGGTCTCCTATCTTGCAGCCAAAATACAAGTTGTAGGCTTTCTTAATCATTCCTGTTATCCTCCTTTTTCGTGAGATAAAAGTTATTTCACCGCAGATATAGCAGAAATTATCTGCTTTATTCACACAAGTTCGAGGCATTACTGAGTAGCCTATATAAGCATAAAACGAAATGTAAAGACGCTGTCGAACTACAATCACCTACAGATACTGCAGCTTTTATGCAGTGAAGTGATGCAATTAAAGGCTAATATTGCATCATCTCAGTATACATGCAATTTTCTATTGGTCACCAGTATCAATTGCGCAATATGCAGCTGAAGTTGCATCATAATTTTGAATGGCTTACGTCATTAGATGGGTGAATATATCATGGAAACTAGAGCCAATCAACATTTTTTAGGGTCATTTTCGTTTTCAGCACCCCAAAATTATGTAAGATTAGCTAATTTTATACCCAAAACTTTTTACCTGTTGAACAGTGAAGTGGCTGTTTTTTAAAAGTCAACAGCTACAGTTTTTGTAGCTGCTGACTTTTATTTTTTGACAGGGTGAGTGGAACTCCGCTTTAATTGACCAGATCAATAACCCAGGAGTTTAACTGACGATGCTATACTCAGATTAAAAAGTGTTCCTTTAATTTTTTCAGCAGAATATATAACTATAGAGTATATTTAACACTGACATAGCACACTCATCCACTTACCAAGTAGCCAGCCACCATGAAATGTTCCCTTTTCAAAATTTGTGTACAGTCGCGACTGCCGTAGTATATGGGCATCGTGTACTGCTCAAGGGAAACCAGTTACCACATCATAGATCAAAAGCTGTGAATCGCACACCACCTGAATGTTCATAGAATGATACCCCTTTTAGTGTCAGTAGATCACTCAGTGTTATATGATAATGCTGTACAGCAGCGGTGACAGTATGTAAAAAAGTAAACATTTTTTTTTTCATTTCTTCATTTTCAAAACATTATGATAAAAAAAAATTACAACTTCAAAAAACTCGCCACGCCTCTTAGTAAATGCATTGGACTGTCTACTTTCCAAAAAGGGGTCATTTGGGGGATATCTGTACTGTCCTGGCATTTTAGGGCCTCAAAAAATGAGATAGGCCATCAGTGTGATTGAGTGGATTGATCGATTTTCAGATATATACCATAGTTTGTGGTCTATAAACCTTTCCTACAGACTTAATAATAATCACTGATTTGTTTTTTTTTTCACCAAAAAAATGTAGCAGAATACACTGTATTTTGAATACACAATTTATGCAGAACAAATATTGATTTGCAAAATTTCATAATAAAAAAGAAGAAAAACATGGGATTTTTTTTTCCAAATTTTTGGTCTTTTTTCATTTATTTAGCAAAAAATAAAAAACCCAGTGGTGATTAAATACCACCAAAATAAAGCTCTGTTGGTGCGAACAAAATGATGAAAATTTAGTTGGGGTTCAGTGTTGCATAACTGAACAATTATTCATAGTGCTGAAAACTGGCTCGTGCTCCTTGTGACTAGGAAGGAATAAGGGGACGTGTACAATCAATAGCATCCATTACATTGGGAATGGATGCAATGCTGTAGAATCCTCCTTTAATTTGATCCCACTCCAGCCATGATGAGGGCATGTAAAAATAGGATGATGCAGTTTGTCAGAAGCCCTGCTGCAGCACTGTGCCAAGGAGTCTAGAAACGGATGCTTGAGACATTCTGACAACATCACCAGCAACCATCTGGTAGGAGGCCTTTCCAAGGAAATGCAGCACAGCCAGCAATTTCGACATGCCTGGTATTGGATGGCTCCGCTGGGTGGTAGACTCCACTAGACACAGCTAGATGTACAAGATAAGTATTAGCTCTTTGGTCAAACAGAACCTACACACAACTTTCGACTCTGTAAAATCCTCCAGCAGTGTGCTCTATGAAAAGCCTTGGAGCCATTACCACCACTCTTCTCCATCTCCTCATACGCCTTCTCAGCATGTTGATTTGCAGCAGAGTGCATTCAAACACCTCCATCTTGAACCACTTCCTACACCCTCACAGGAATATACCACACGTGATACTGCCGCCAAAACCCTGGTGACAAATATCACAACTTTTTTTTTTACTTCCTGGTTCTTTTGTGAATTGGACTTAACAGATTGCCGCACTATTTTTTCCGGTATTTACTGACACATTTTTAATTTTGCATTAAACACTGCAGAATCGTTTTTTTTTTTTTTGTGAATTGGACATTTTGTTACCACATGCGATAATTTATGCAAATGAGTCATGTGACCGTGTTATCACAGGCAGTAACCTTTAGTGAATTGACTCCAGTTTAATTACCTTAATCAGCCACAGAACCTATGTAATGAATACGTGTTTGGTTTGAATGGGATCATTTTCAGTGACTAGTTTTTGCCGTTCATACAGAATATGTAATTTGATGTGCACTGTCTGGACACAGGTACACTAGAACACCCACTTATTGTAAACTTGCCCAGGGATTTACTTATTTATATATATATATATTTGTGATATATTTAAATAAAACATATAATATATATATATAAATCCGGTGAATTAACAGACAAGTACCCTTGCCCAGAATAGTACATGCACCAACCAGTCAGGTTTCACCGCTCACGATATACAAAAGGAAACAAAGAAGCTGATTGGTCAGGAACTCCATTTTGCCTCCAGTTATTTTATGAACACTAAGAGCCATCCTAAATTCCGGGTCGTGTAGCACGCAGTTTATCACGTGCCGCCCTCTCCTTGTTCTTTGTGACCAAAATAATAAAGCTCATTTTAAAAAAAAGCGCTTCCCTCCCGCCCCTTTCTCCTTCCTCTGACTTCCAAATACCGCTCTCGCGCCTGAATGACGTTATCAGAGAGCGCCCCTTGTCGCCTGGCTGTAACCGTCACCGTGGCGAGTAGCGTCATCTGTACTCGCTGTTCTTGTCTGGGCGGTGTGTCTGTGGGCTGAGCCTTCCCACCCTTGTCTCGTGTGCGCCCTCCTCCCGGCGGGTGTCGTCCAGTGGTGACCTGGGAGGAACGTTAGGCGTGTGATGTCGGAGAGTTGGGAGGAACAGAGGTCGGCCGGTGCCCCTTTGGGCCAAGAGGAAGGAGAAGGCTCCGTGCTGGGCTGTGTGTGGACGCTGCTGCTTAACGCGGCTCTCCTGACGGTGTTGGTGTTCGGGGCCTGGCGGGTGTATTGGCGCTGGAGAGGGGCCGGGACCAGGTCGCGCTCTTCATTACCGCGCATGAAGCGGAGAGACTTCGCCTTGCAGCAGCTGCGAGATTTTGATGGAGCCAACAACCCCCGCATACTGCTGGCCGTCAACGGCAAGGTGTTCGACGTGACGGAGGGCAGCAAGTTCTATGGCCCTGGTGAGAGGACACGGCTGGGGGTGTGACCAGGGGAGCGTGCTGAGGGAACTGTAATGTGTTGTGTGCTGGGGAGGTGGAGGGCGCCGGGGGAGCCGTGGTGTAACGTGCACCGGGGGAGGTGGAGGGTGCTGAGGGAGCAGAAATGTGTCGTGCTGGGGGAGCTGTAATGTGTTGTGTGCTGGGGAGGTGGAGGGTGCCAGGGAAGCCGTGGTGTAACGTGGAGGGTGCAGAGGGAGCAGAAATGTCTTGTGCTGGGGGAGCTGTAGTGTGGAGGGTGCAATGCCAGGAGTGTGTCCTGGGGAGCTGTAGAGAGGTGGAGGGTGCTGAGTGTCCTTGGAGGAAGGGGAGCTGGAGGGTGCTGGTTGTCCTGTGGGTTGGTGGGAGCTGTAGTGTTGAGAGGCTGTCCCCGGGGAAGAGTGTGTGGGAGGGTGCTGAGTGTATTGTTGTGTGGGGGTGCTGAGGGTGCTGAGTGTATTGGTGGGGGGGGGGGGGTTATAGCGCGGAGTTATAGCGCGGAGGGTGCTGAGTGTATTGGTTTGGGGGGGTTATAGCGCGGAGGGTGCTGAGTGTATCGGTTGGGGGGGTTATAGCGCGGAGGGTGCTGAGTGTATCGGTTGGGGGGGTTATAGCGCGGAGGGTGCTGAGTGTATCGGTTGGGGGGGTTATAGCGCGGGAGGGTGCTGAGTGTATTGGTTGGGGGGGTTATAGCGCGGAGGGTGCTGAGTGTATCGGTTGGGGGGGTTTATAGCGCGGAGGGTGCTGAGTGTCTTGGTTGGGGGGGTTATAGCGCGGAGGGTGCTGAGTGTCTTGGTTGGGGGGGTTATAGCGCGGAGGGTGCTGAGTGTCTTGGTTGGGGGGGGGGGGTCATAGCTGCGGAGGGTGCTGAGTGTCTTGGTTGGGGGGGGGGGGGGGTTCATAGCGCGGAGGGTGCTGAGTGTCTTGGTTGGGGGGGGGGGGGTCATAGCGCGGAGGGTGCTGAGTGTCTTGGTTGGGGGGTGGGGTCATAGTCGCGGAGGGTGCTGAGTGTCTTGGTTGGGGGGGGGGGTCATAGCGCGGAGGGTGCTGAGTGTCTTGGTTGGGGGGGGGGGGTCATAGCGCGGAGGGTGCTGAGTGTCTTGGTTGGGGGGGGGGGTCAGTTAGCGCGGAGGGTGCTGAGTGTCTTGGTTGGGGGGGGGGGGGGGGGGGTCATAGCGCGGAGGGTGCTGAGTGTCTTGGTTGGGGGGGGGGGTCATAGCGCGGAGGGTGCTGAGTGTCTTGGTTGGGGGGGGGGTCATAGCGCGGAGGGTGCTGAGTGTCTTGGTTGGGGGGGGGGTCATAGGCGGAGGGTGTCTGGAAGTGTCGTTCCAGGTGTTCTTGGTTGGCGGGGGGGGTCATAGCGCGTGAGGGTGCTGAGTGTCCTGGCCTGGTATTGCTCCTCTCTTGCTTGAGTCTTAATGTTGATATCAATATACAGTTGTTGGACCAGCAGCCACTACTTGTTCCTGCAATGTACACAATGGCATCATGGGAAGTGCCCAACCTACATTTTGGCGGAGGAATGAACTGCAGGCTTGCCATGTATTTTACTCCTGGTTCAAGTATTCTGTAATTCTCAGGAACAAAACAAGCACTTATAGTATTATCTCAGCCTGTGATAGGCGGATGTTGTTTTCATTTTGTCCTGGAGCTCTTGCTTTACAGGTGGTTCCAAAAAGGTCTGCAAAAGTTTTTTAGTTTTTTTTTTTAAACCTTCAAGTATGCAGCTCTCCCCTACCTTAGCTTGATTCCAGCGGATGTGCACAAGCAGCTTGATACTGTACTTGGGGTCTATCCATCTTCATTGGCTGAGGACACATTAGAGGGAGCTGGTTACGAATTGTGTGCAGTGGAGGTATGGGACTCTGTACATGGACAGAGCCATATAGGTTCGCAGCCATGTTGTCTCTCCTGTCCTCCCCTCTCCCTTTTGAATGGAATTAGTGAGTCTGTAAGTGAATGGAGGTCAAACGACCACACGGGCGGCCTCTTATCTAAACACAGATAAACTCCAGGGTTGTTTACCAATTTAATCTGGTTGCAGGGGGTCTGCTTGAAAACCCACTTTCCTCTGCCGATCGTAAAACAATAACTATAATGTACAGCGCTGAGCAAAACCTTTTAGGCACTATATAAATACTGTATAATAACTCAGTCAGTCGTGACCTGTTAGGGCTAGAGTGTGCCATAAAACGTACATTCCACTGGAGTCATTATTTCATACAAATTCATAAACTTCAGCAGGAAACTGGGCACATTAATTATGAAGTATATATTCGGATAAGGTCATTTTTTTAATGAGTCACATGACAACTCTTACATCCCTATGTTAGCACCCACAAGAGACTAGAAAGCAATTTCCTTTATCGGGATTGGCAAGGATATGCTATGTTTGGTACCTTTTGCGTTTGGAATATAATTTAAATATTAATCTGCCAGTTGCTAGGCTTCTAACCTGTACCTATTGAAGGTTATTGACCTTAGTAGGACGTTGTAGGGATTTGGTCATAACCCGGGTTACCGCCTAACACCCATCCCCAAATGGGATGATTTGCCATTTTTTTTTCTCAGGGGACCCCATTTGAGATGATAGAAAAAGACTGGACAGCCTGGAGAAAAATGAGCTCTCTCTTTTAATATCAATAAGGGAACCATATAAGAGACTTGAGAGCCAAAGCAGCTTTTTGTCCAGACAATTGGACTCTATGCTCAAACCAAGGACTTTTCGGAAAGTATTCTGCCATTCTGAAACTTATTTCTTTTATTTTCTCTGTTGTTTTTTTGCTTCTTGTATATGTTACATCTTTTTCTGTAAATATTTTAATTGCACCATTTTGACCTTTTTAGCAATAAATCCTATTTTCTGAAAAAAGTGTTGAACTGTCTCTAAAGCCTTTTAATGCAAACTAAAGAATCCCTGTCTCTGAAGAGTGCTACTGTATGTGATAATCCTCTGAATACATCTGTCTGTGGTTTGCTCAGTGTGTATACGGACGCTTATACTAATATAGTGTTACTGCTAAGATTTGTGAGTGTTCCTCCTTCTCTGTAAAAAGGTGGTGGCAGTGTGAAGGGTTAATTCGTAATTAACCTAAACCCTGGGTTAGTAACAATCGCTCTCAGGCTGCTGCACATAGATTGTAGTCCCGCGAGCTGGAAAATCTTTGTGCAGGGCGTAGCTGAGAGTGGCATTGTTAAGCAAGTGATAGCGCGGTGCGAGATCGGCTGGTCTTTCGGTCACGAGTTGGTGAGAAGGGCTGGGGTCTGATGCCACACACAGTCACAGGAGCCATTGGGGTCCTGCTGCTGTTCATAAACAGACCCTGAGGAGGGGGCATAGGGAGGGAACCGAGCAGCGCTCTGTGTGTCTCTGACGCAGAGGCGGTTCAGGATCCGTTATGAACATGCACAAGCGCCCCAGAGCAAGCGGGTTGTAATAATGGCACTCAGCAGGGGGAGGAGCCAGGAGCACTGGAAGGGGACCCAAGCAAAGGAGGATCGGGGCTGCTCTGTGCAAAACCATTATATAGAGCAGGTAAGTATGACATGTTTGTGGGGTTTTTTTCTCTTAATGTTAACCTTTAACCACTTCCGCCTGTAGGATGTCATATGACGTCCTTGGGTTGAAGTGGTTATACCCACGGGATGATACCTGTAGGCATCATTTCCGGTATCAAAATATTTCCGCTGGTGATTCCCTGTTTATGGGAAGTGATTTGAGTGGCTGAACAACCACTCGATCACTTTTGTGGGTGGCGGAATGCTGTTCATTGCTTGTGAAAGCAGTAAAGTTTGATTAAAAAAAAAAAAAATATATATATATATATATATATATATATATATATATATATCATAATTAAAATAAATTTAGGTGTCTCCTTTTCCCCCCCCTTTGCTTACGCATGCATACGTAACTCTAAACTGGCAAACCTGTATAAGGCTTTTAATGCGTCGCTATGGAGATTTTTAGGTACGTAGTTTGGCGCTGTTTCCAAGTGCGCACGTAATTTTAAAGTGTGACATGTTGGGTATCTATTTTACTTGGTGTAACCTCATCTTTTATATTTTAACCAAAAAACAGCTATTCTTATATAGGGGGTCAGTTCACTAAAGGCTACCGAAGTGCCATGATATGGTCGTGTGTGTCATTCTTTAGAAATATCGCATGAAAATAATATAGGAGTCAATTCATCAAAGTAAAATATCGAATGTGAGGTAAATACTGCATATTCCTTAAAATAGTGCGATATAATACCGCAAAAAAAAGATGAAAATCATTAGTCAATTCATTAACCTCTTGCCCTCCGCCCCTATAGTAGAAAATACTGCTACAGGGTGGCTGGGGGTGTGCAAAATCACGTGTGTATTTGTTTATATACGTGATTTGCATTTCCGGGTAGGGGGGGTGCACTGCCCTACCTGCATCGCTGTTGGAGGCTAGAGATGTTAATCACCGGGTCCCGACCGGCACTTGGCGATCGTCGGGAAAGCTTGACAGGGAAGAGACCTGTGTGTAAACACAGGTCTCTCTGCTGTCAGCATGGACATGCTGTTTTGTATCTCTGCACAGCAGAGAGCTACAGAAACAGCATGCCTCTCTAGTAAAACACAGCACACCATTAAACCCTTTGATTGCCCAGATGTTAAACCCTTCCTGCCCAGTGTCATTAGTACAGTCAGTGCTTTTTATTAGCACTGATCAATGTATTGGTGTCACTGGGGATGTCAGTGACAGTTCCCACACATTGTCAGAATGCCTGTGGCAGTCCTGCTAAAAGTCGCTGCTGATCCCCGCCATTACTAGTATTAAAAAAAAAAAAAAAAAAAAATTCCAGCATCTGTACCGCCATTTGTAAACACTATAACTTTCACATAAACTAGTTCATTTACACATACAGTATTGGTATTTAAGTCCAAATCAGGTGAACGGTGTAGGAATTACAACAGTTTGCATATGTGCCTCCCACTTGTTAAGGGACCAAAAG